TAAATCTTTTGATGGCTTTAAATTTTATTTTCATATTGAATTGTAAAATTTAAAGATAAAAAACTAGTGTAGATCGAACAAATCTATGAATACTTGAAAATCTCGAAAATTGACAATCTACATAATATATTACAAGATACACTATTTCCAAAACTTGAAATCTATTTTCTTTTAAGTCCATACATCTAAAGGTCGAGATGACTTAATTGAGGGTTTTTCAACATCAAAATAACATCTTTTAGTGAATTTTTGTGGTGCGCCTTAATTTAATTATTTAGGGCCTCACCCTTATATAAATTTTTTCCAACTCTATATCATCTTCCCATGGTTCAGTGATGAGGGGACTGGGTCCCACAATAAGTGATCAATTAATTACATCTCACACTCTCCATCGCCATCCAAACATTAAATCGAAGATGATGAACAACACGATCATGTTGTTACCATGACCATCTATCTTTTCCTTATTTAAATACCCCAACAACTACATTGGGTTGAGCCAAGTGCCTTGAACTTAAGCCAAGCCAAAGAGAGATTTTCTGGTATTCCATTTCCACCCCTTTGAGGAGTAGGAGGAAGAGGGACGTATTTCTTGCTAGTGAGTTTGTTCACCAAAACCCCAGTCTCTACCCCAAACCCAAGTGGTTTCTACTAATAGTCTCAGTGATGATGACATCCAATGAAAATAATAATAATAATAGATTAGTGATGATAGTGAGTTTGTTCTAGGGTGGCAATGGAGCCGACTAGACCCAAGATCCGATGGATAGACCTAATCTCGGGTTCGGATAAGGGAAAAAATTAGGATCCGAATACTATTCGGGTCCAGATCCATTTGGACCCGACCCAAATAATATTGGTATTAATAAACGTTGCCAATACGTTTGTTTCTTAGGAATTTCGAGTTATTATATAAAATAGTAAGAAATGTGGGTTCATGTAGGTATTCATAAATATTTTTCTATATTATACATGTTGCCAATAATATAAGTATATGATGGTAAAAAAAACGAAAAAAAAATCTCATAATCAATGGTAGCAATGGACCTAACTAAACCGGGATCCGACGAGTAGACCCGACATCAGGTCCAAATATGGATCCAGATTTTGGACCCGAAAGTTGGATCCGGGTCCAAAACTTCAACCCGAATACTATTCGGGTCGAGGTCCGGGTCAACCCGGACCCGATCCGTTGCCACCCCAACTTGTTCACCAAAACCTCAGTCCCATTCGAACATGTCTACCCCAAAGACCCAACTGTTTTCTAGTAATAGTATGAGTGATGATGACATCCATTAAAAATAATAATAATGGATTAGTGATGATGGTGATGGTAATATGATTGATGAGGATATAAAAGAAGTTTTCAGGTTCATTTGTTCATAAAAATGGAGGGAGGATTAGTCTATCATTTTTAGAAAGAGAAGGAATTCGAACTTAACTACTTCAATTATCTCTAAACATAATAAATGACTTTTAAAAAGAGAAGGAATACTGATAGATAAATTTTATTTTTTCTAGTACAATGTACAAATAATGTTCAAAAACATCAGCTCCATAGAAATGTATGCAGGTGGAGCAAAATGAATAGAAAAATAGAATTCATAAGATAAATGGAAAAAAAAAAAAAGTATTCTTTCATGGCTGCAAAATGTACATTTACTCCAGTAAGACCCTAGCTTAACTAGATGTATTTTAGGACCCCAAATTTGGAGACATGAAGACATGACCTATTGAATTTAGATATCAAACGTTAATAAAATAAAAAAAGGAAAAAAATTGAATTTGCATCTTGGATTGGCCCGAGAAAGTCACGCCCAACGAGCCCAAGGATTGCAGATAGACCATCCAATTCGGGACGCCAATTTTAAAGGGATCTAGGTGTTTAGGTACTCAAAATCATTTTTCCTTTAAAATAGGGGTGGCAACGGGTCAGGTCTGGGTCCGGCCAAACCCGACCAGCAGGGTCCAAATTTTTGATCCATACTTGGACCCACGTCGGGTCTACCGTCCCTGGTTGGGTCCGTGTCCATTGCCACCCCTACTTCAAAAACAAGATATTCATCACTGTAAGGTAGATCTCAAGTACTCATAAAGAAAAAATCATCCTCAATTGGTCATTTGCCAGGTTTCATAAATGGATCTTTTTAGTTCCATCGGAGCATAATAATGTGCTTTTAGACTTGGATAAAAATAGTTATTGGAAAAATCTTGCGATTTAAGGGTCGAAATAATAGAACCTAATCAAAAGATTTGAGAGAGAGATGGATAGCTCACAAGAGAGAGAGAGAGAGAGAGTTGTATATTTCACAAGAAACATTGATCTCAGGTCCTCTGTTATAGGAAAGGAACGAAGATATAAGAGGCCTTAGTCAAGTCCAAGGTGATGGTTGTTTGGTGGAAGTTTCACCTTTGGAAGATGAAATTTCTGAAAATTTAGGCTCTATGGGAGCATGGAAGAGAATGGCTTTCATTTTCCCCATTGTTGCAACCGGCTCTACATATGGGGGCCAATCTATTTGTATGCTTAATTATGAAACTTAAATCTCCGAAAGTGGTTCATATCGAGTAGATATATAAACATTTGAAAATTTTGGAAAGTGATGGGCTAAATAATGTGCTCCAAAATACACTATTTTTATGTCTTGAAATCTTTTTTTTCTTCATGTCCGAGATGATCAATTGGAAGGTTTTCTGGCATTAAGAGAACATTTTCTATTGGGTTTTTAAGGGTGCCTCATTTATAACCATGCCAATTCTCATTCAAAATCGACGATTCCCTAGTTTATGTATTATGCATGTGCATTCAATAACAAAATATCATGTATTATACATGTACATTCTATAACAAAATATTCAATTGAGTGATTTGGCATCACGTTTTACCAGTTCGTATTGATTCCTCGATCAAGTTTTGCCACTTCTTTCTTTTGGGTAACTTTTTTTTTCTTGTCTTTCTTTTGAAAAAAAATCATCATCAAAAAGTAGGGGTTGAATTTGATGTAACATTTGCCATTGATTTTTTTCTCTGCTATTTTGATGAGTATCGTATTATTTAGTTTTTTGGTATTGAACCCCAACTTTTAATGCTAATATGTTTTGTAAAATGTATGATTTAATCCTCCACTGCCATTAATGGCTTCTCAAGTTTGGAAAAGCAAGTAAAGGATGTTTACAATAAAATCCATAAATTTATCCCACCTGGTTTGAACCTAATGTTTAGGGGATTGAGTCCTTCAACTAAACAACTCCATTTTACCAACTTTTTTTTTTTTGACAATATTTAAAATTTTATTAATGAAAGAAAGTTACATTTTACCAACTTCTTTTTTTTTTTTTTGGCAATATTTAAAATTTTATTATTGAAAGAAAGTTACAGCAAGGAAATTATATTTCACCAACTTCATTGATAATGATGAGCTAAGTGTCCTCTCTGGCCTACTACAGCACTGCGAGATAGCCAAAGAACCTTTATGTATTATATTCTTGTAACCAGTTTTTTAAAACGGAGTGATTTTAGATCTGGATTATCAATCCCAATAGCAATCGATCAGGACCGAACCGGTTTAAGATAGTATGGGTCCGAGCCGAGTTCCCTTCTAAAATGCCCTTTATATATTTTTCTCTTCATTTTTTTGAACTTATCTTATGCTTTCTTAGGTCTCATGATTTAAAATACTACTTACTATAATAGCCATGGTAAGCATGGGGTTACAGTATAGACAATGCTGAAGATTCGAATGATGCTACATCAACCTTGTTCTTCCCAACACTAGGCCACCCGTGCAATATGGTTTTAGTTGGATAAAGAGCAAGTACATAAATTGGTCACACCCATCAAAATTGTAAAGTGAAAAATAACAATTAAATAAAAAATCTCAATAAGATCACTAGACAATTAGGAAGAGCAACATATTCATTAAATGGTATCAAAATTAGCAAAAAATGGTATCCTCTTCCTTTCATACTTCATTCAGATTTTTACAAAATTCTAGGGCTTCATCCCCCATTCAGGTAAACTCAAGAGGAGAACTTCACTTCTTTTTGGCAACAACTTAGAAGGAGAACTTGACTGGGGATATTTTGGGAAGGGGTGGGGTCGGGGTTGGGGTCAGGGTCAAGGTCAAGGTCAGGATCAGGGTCAGGGTCGTGGTGGTAGCACCCCTTGCCTAGATATGACATTGTGGTTTTCAATCCCACCACCTACTGACATCTTCAAAAAGCTTACTCATATTCTATTGGAAAAAACGGGTTAGGGCTGCAATTACCCAAAAAAACTCGGGACATTTCCTCCACATTCAACCAAACTTGCGAAGAGCAAGCTATAAAAATCAATGTAGACCAGGATTGGTGTGTGAACCATCTATCCCATCAATCTGTTTTAAAATTATTGATCCAATCAAGCGAGTTGTCAGGTTTGTTTGTTTGGGATTTGTGGACAAATTTCTAGGGTTCAAACTCTAAATCTCTGAGCTGATATGTCTACCACTAAGCAGATCCCTAACGGATATAATAAATGTATGGCTGCATGCTATGTATTTAAAACCAAGAGAAAAAAATCAGGAACAAAGGGAATGATCATATGTATTTTTGAAATGCGGTTGTATGCAATTAGAGAACTACTTTCATGCACAAAATACATAAATACCCTAACAATGAATAACTGAGGTATCATTTTTTTGTACATCTGAAGAATTTTTTCTAAGCCTTTGAATGCAGCGCATGTACACACACCCCCAGCCATCAGATCTGACATCTTACGGCTTGGGATATCATGACCTCTGTGAAAGGTAAACACTTATGCCAGGTAAAATAATACTCAGGACTATTGCACAAAGAATACTCTGAAAATTTTAGGATCCACTCAAGAATCACCAAACAAATATTTCAAAAACAAGAACTGCATTTAAGATCATAAACACTCTAATCTAACAATTCTAACTCAAAGACTTTATTTCATATATAAACCAAATATGATTATTCTTTTTTCTTTGTTTGTTGAGGTTACATCCCTGAAATTTGGTCCTGAGCAGACTCCTTTGACCTGAGGGAGCATAGAACTTCCCCTGGCATATTCCTTGTGCACCCGCGGTAGCTAGGAATAAAACAATGAGCGGATTAAAGCCAAGCCGAATGAGATCGGCTTGAACCGAGTGGATTCGAACCGAGCACTAACCCTGTCACACGTGGGAAAAACGGAACATTTTCACAAAGATACCCGCCTATTTCAACGTCTGATTGAAACTGGTTTCTGCATTTTCGGGTGTTGAATTCGAAAGACAATCAATTGTCACAAAACCCTAACCCTAGTTTTTGATGTTTTTTCTTCTATACTAAAAGGAACGAACCCTTGTTTTTCTTTTCTGTATTATGAAACAGTGAAAATGGAGAGTGGAGATGGCTTGATCTATGGCTCGACGTATCCGGATCCAGCTTACAAGCCTTTGCCTCTGCTTTATATGGGATGCCTTATGGTATGGTCGGTTTCTGCATTTTCATGGACCTTCAACACTTGGAGAAAGCGCCGTTTTCAGGTTCTTTGTGCTTTTAACTTCAATTATGGACTGAAAGTGCTGAGGATAATATTTGGTGGTTAGTGTTTTTTTAGTGTTTGATGTTTCTCTCTTGATTTTGATGTAAAGTTGCATGGATTATTGATCGGAAAGTGATATGAACTGTACAAAATATTTGGCATTTTGTGGGAATAATGCCAATGGAGTTTGGAGGGAAAATTCGCAGGTTTTTGTTTCATTTCAACTTGGCAATTGTTAAAAATTTGGTAACATTTTTGTGGTAGCTCAATTGCCTTAGGTTCAATATGCTTGATGATAACTTGAAGCTTTGGTCTCGGTTCAGTTCAATACTGCAGTTCCTTTCTCTCTGCTAGTACTGCAAAAATTATTCTATTAATGTGATGGATTGGCTAGGATGTCTTAGGATTCTTTAACCATGAATTTGGTGTTATGGGTGTAATTAGCCTGTGCATGGGTTTTTCATCTGATTATATAGCTGCCAATTTTATAAAGGAAATGAAAATACATTGAAAACATTGCTTTCTTATGGCTTTAGCATTGAATCTACTTAAATTCATGTCATATGGTTGGTTCGTTCTGTATTGGTTTTGAATATTCTGCAATCTCTGTTCAATAATCTCTGGTCAATAGTAATCTGAAAGGGTTTTTTATATGATAAATTTGTATAACCATATACATAATATGATATATATATAATGTGTAAAGGAAAAGTAGTTTATGCGTTGGGGGATGCATTTCTACATTTGTGTCCCCTGAGGCATAACCCATCCATCTAAAGATGGATGTAAGTGATGGTCGCTCAAAGCAAAAGTTAAAATCAATCGCTCAAATGTTTCTTTCGAAAAGGTATCATTTTGAGTTCCCATTTTATTTTATTTTAATTTACACATTAATGATCTCCATGTTAGGGATTGTATATTCCTTAAAAATATGGGTCAAAATTTATTTTAAAATGGGCTATTATGGGGGCCAAATTTCTAGATATCAGTCCGAGGACGCATAGAAACCATGTCCATAAAAAAATGTAGGAGAGAAGGGAGGGGGCCTTGGTCTAGGCACTAGGCCTGTAAAGAGGCACCTCCACCCCAGGCAGGCGCCTAACTCAAGGCGATGCGCCTAGGCCCCCGGCCCACATAGTCACCAAGGTAGGTGCCTTTTTGTCATAACTTTGAATGCTTCAATCAATAATTTGATATAGTCTACAAGATGAGGATAGCGAGGAATTGTTAAAATCTTTTAATTGAAAAAGAAATGCAATAGCTAAATGGCTCTCTATTTTCTCCTCTCAAAAAGTCTTTGCTGCTCTCAGACACTCTGGACATGTAATCTGGACGTGCTCTCAACTTGGAAGTTGGAACCATGTAACAATAAGTTTCCCAATCCCAAAATCACCGTACATGCCTATTGGGATTTCGTATCATGATTCATGAAATGGTTGAGAGTTTATATTCAATTTTGATTTTATTTTGCCAGTGTTTGGCCTTCTGTATTGTTTTTGCTTGATTTTCCTTGCTGTAATTATTATTTGGCATCTTTATGAACTGTGAAGATAGCTTAAATGCATATATTATAATAGTGATGGCTTATGAAGTTTTGTGCTATGGAACAGACGAACAATCTGCAGTGGATGCTCACATTGGTACCATCCATTAAAGCAATGCAATTGGGATTGTCATGTCTGTTCTGGTATGTGTGTGCTAGAAATGACAGCACAAAAATACCTTTATTGACATTTGCGAGTATTACATATAAATAGGGAAAAAGTATTCGGGTTTCAATTTCTTTTGGATTCATGTCATTATGTGGAATAGTGAGAGATTTTGCCTGCACTTTTGTTTCTGCTATACATTAAAATCTTGTCTTTATCCATTGGGATGTTTAATCGTCGGTTAGATTCTACACAAAAGAAACCTCAAGTTCGCAGCCTCCACCCATCGTAATGAACCTGTGGATTTGAACATGTCGACTTGAGAAGGCACAATAAATGGAAATCACACAACATGAGGACTGAGCATTTTATCTACAAGGGAACATGTTTCAAGCTCTTGCATCACAAATCTAGACCTGTATCACCTTCATTTTATCTGAGTCTGTAAACATATTCATGTTATAACAAGTTCATCTTCTACAGTTCCTTGTGTTGTGAAAAATCATTAGCATATAATTTGCAGCTCTTTCATAACAAATGAAAGCCATTTTTCTCTTCATTGCCTAGAAAAAAGCATCTCTCAATGAGAATTGTCTCAATAGCCATGTTTCTTTAGACGCTGCAAGCCCTCTTAATTTCTGGTTCCTTAGCACTCTGATAACATCTTCTCTTTCGAGATAACAGCTTATATGATCCTTAAATTTATTTCTTGTTTGCTGTGGTAAACCTGTGGTTCCTAATTTTCTAGACAAGACTTTGGATGAGATATAATAGACACAATTCACTGAAACAAGTCTCTACATCTGCATGATTTTGAAGCTTGATTATGTCGCTTTCAGTCTCATAAATTTATTTAATATTTGTCTAAATGTTTGTGACAGACAAAACACCTCTCAATAGAAATCTACCATATTATGAGTGTGTATTAGAAAATGCACGCTATGCATTTCTCATACCTTGAATTATCATTATGAGCTTCTCATTTAATCATCAGATAGGTTTTCCATAGGAGCGTTCTTTGATTGATGGAATATTATCATGCAGGTACTCATGCTTTAGTTTCCAGACATGCTCTTTATGGGTATCTTTCGGGGTATACATAACTGGAGTTTTCTTCCAGATAACATGTTTGGTGTCATTCCTTCTCATTTCTCATGGTTATAGTATCATGTGTGAACGCCTATCAGTATCAGAACATCGCACTACAGCTACAATGGCTTGTGTTCTGTATTTGACACTTGTGGGTTATAAAGCTGCATTGCCCTACTTTTCTGTGAGTTCTGTTCAGTACTTAGGATGTCATTTATGTAGTAATTGCAACTTCTCAATTTATAAAATGCCTCAATTTATGTTTATACATATTGAGTCAAGTACATTGGATACTTGATTTATTTTTTGAGGTTTTGATCCTATAGACATTCACGTTTTTCATAGCACTTCTCATTTCTTATTAAATCATCATAATTTTCTGGCTTCCTGTATTTAACTCAAGAAGTTAATCTCACTTTCTTGTAATCCAGGTCCTCCTGTTGCTTAACCATATTGTATCATACTATGTTATCTTCCTCCACATCTACCAGAACCTGTTAGCATTGCGGGAGCAGTTGAATTATATAGAACAAGAGAACATGCCAGCTACTCGTGAAGCGGTATATATGAAGTACAAAATGTTCAAGTATGAAATGTGTTTTGTTCTACTCTTTTATGCTTGGTGATTTAAGGAGCTAGAACACAAGTGTAATATGGCTATTGAAAGGTCATGGATTACAGAGTGATTACATGACTTCCAGTATATTACAAGTTGTTCTTTTCTCTGTTTCTCTTTCAGGAACTTTCAAGATGCGATGAAGATAGCAGCCCTTGTGGAAATTTTGGTATGAAGTTTCTGCCAGTCAGACAGTCCATTTTCGCCTCTAACTTGTTCACTAAATAATTTCTTTTTGTGATTGGCAGATTTATATTAACACAGGTGGTGCTACAGATAATTATTGGATCCGACTGTTAATCCGGGAGTGGTCACAGTTCTGCATATTCTTCTATGTTGGGTATGTCAGAGAATTTCATGCATGCCACATTTTGAGTTCCAACAATATGCTAATGTTCAAATAATAAATCTTCCTTTGATAGTCATTTTTTATTCGTGTCATATTTATCAATGGTTCTGAATTAAGAGTCTCTTGTTTTTGAGTTTCAATACTTCATTATTTCATTGACATTGGGGTATTAACCCACTATTTCGTAGAATTGACCTCTTCCATTTAATGTCTATTTGCCATAAAAAAATATTTTCTAAGGGCAATACTTGAAATGCACTCCCAAAAAAGAATTTCATTCTAATCTACTCTTAGTTTTTATTGATTACAATATTTCTCTTCACATGCACACTGGTGCAGATGCAATTCTGACATTAATGCTTACTAGAGCTGATGCAGTTCTTTACCTTTTCAGATGGATTTTCAGGTCACAGGAAGTTTCACCTGGATTTCATGTTGTGCCTACTGTGAATTCCAAAGGAAGAAAGACAATACCTACCATCTACAGCATAGTATGTTTCTCATCTCTGTGATATACCTCCCATTTTGGTAATAATTTCGTTTTTGCTCTGCTGTGATCAATCATGCATGTCCAGTTTGACATGCTCATCTCATGGTTCCTTCTCTTGGGACATGTGCTTGATTCACCCAATTACTGAATTGGCACTCCATAAGTGCATGTGCGATTTTGACATGACCTCCATAAGTGCTCCCATTGTCCCATTTTGTTTAGGTGATCATAAAAATAGAAAAGGTCCATAAAAGAGTATCTTGATTACCCAAAGTTTCTACAGTCCACAACTGTTATGCATCCAAATATTGACTTGAACTTTTCATAAATCCCATTTAGAGGCATTTGGTAAATGTAGCTGATTAGAGCTGGATGGTAAATCAAAGAGAACTGAATTTATCGTGGGTGAATACAACCATTTTTATACTTTGATAAGTTCTATATCTAATAATTTTGACTGATAAAATTGCTTTTGTTTTTTGATGGATAACTTGGTTTTGTTTAGATACGTTACGAATGAGTCTTGTATTTCAATATCCTTCTTCCCTCTGATAATATAACTAAAGACCATTCCTTTTACCTGCTGATATTGGGAAACCTGCTAATGCGTTGTTTCTTGATACAGGAAATGGATGAGGCGGATTTCAGTAATTTGGATTTCCATGAATGGCAAATCGGGGTGGTAAGAAAGAAGCTCCTGTTATATGCATAATCCTAAGAATATTGTCATTAACTGAACGCAACAAGCCAGAGAATCTGTATTTGTTTCATTAATAGACAAAATATATGCCGGATTCAAGTTTGCAAATTTCTAGCAAAATACCCCAAACACATACTCATAATTGCAAATCTACTCCCCAAAAGCATTTTCAGGAGTATGTTCATAATTGCATACTTACACTCCATAATATATCAGTAGCATGTTCATATTTGAAAAATTTGCAATCCAAGATATAGTGAAAGCATGTTCATCAAACACATGCTCAGAGTTGCAAATCTACTCTTCAAAAGCATTTTCAGGAACATGTTCATAATTGCATTCCTTAAACTCCAAATATAACAGTAGCATATTTGAATTTGAAAAATTTGCAATCCAATATATACTGGAAGCATGTTCATATTTGTAAATATACACCCCATTATAATCCAAAGGAAAATTTTTCCATGCGGGCTGGACCGCATTTCTACATATGTGGTCCAGAAAGTGTAAAGCATCCATGTTAATGATGGATGCAAGAAGGTGTTCCATCTTAAAATAATGGAAACTAACAGTCCAAATGTTTTCTTACTAGAATTATTATTTCTAATTTTTAAAATTTATTTATTTTTTCATATTCATGATCTCCATGATAGAGATTACATGTCCTTAAAAATTAAGTCTTAAAATCCATCTCAAAAATTAATTTATTAAATGGCCCGCATTTCTGCATATGCGAGCTTGGCCGCATAGAAACCAGGTCCTAATCCAAAAGTATCCAATATTGCACAGGGAGCATGTTTAAATGTCTCGAAGTACTCAGGAATTGTATCTGAATTTTTTTGTGAGATTGATTGATTTGTTCAGAACAAATGAAATTGAATGTCAACTGTGCAGCCGGCTTCCTCCGCAGCCGCTGACAACTCAAGTTGCAAAAGCCATTTCATTGTAGTCAAGAACCCTGGTGCTTCAACCAAGGGCATATCGGGAAACATAGCTGCTTCGACCAAGGGCAATTTAGGAACTCTAGCCAGTTCAAGGTTAACTAGTGTGTCTTGTACAAACTTCTATACACAAGGAGGTACTGATGATGTTTAATTGAAAAAATGTTTCTTTTTCTTTTTTTTTCTCCTTTTTTTTTTTCGATTGGTTCCCATTTGAGCCTCCTATATATTTATGTAATTATTGGACTTGTTTATTATGTATTATATGAAGAAGCCTTGAGCTTCCACATTCGTGTATGGCCAACCTATATGGATTTAGCGTGCCAAGAATCTATATGAAGCACTTGATTCTTTCAAGGTCTTGACAAGAATTCTTGCAGTCACTGAATTGTAGGATGGTAGTTGTGTGCTTCAGCTGCTTTTTTAGAGAGAGAGAGAGATCTTTCTTTTAGATGGGGGTTGGGGGGGGGGGGGGGGGGGGGGGGTAGGTAGGAGGAGGTAGAGAGAGTAGTTAGTTTGTTTAGTTTGTTGGTTGGTGGTAGGTAGTAGTA